CTAAAGTCCAGGTAGGCAACATCCACAGCCTGTCCCTCATCCACTAACCAGGTGCCCACCAAAGCTGCTCTATCACTTCCCTCCTCAGCTGGACAGGGGAGAGAAAATTTAACAAAAGCTTGTGGGTCAAGATAAGAACAGGGAGAGATCACTCACCAGTTACTGTCACCCGCAAAACAGACTCAACTTGGGGAAATTTGAGGGGAGAGGGGGACGGGGAATGGGGGTTGTGGTCAGATAATCACACATTGTATCAGCCGCTCCTTCCTCCTCAGGGGGAGGACTCCTCTCACTCTTCCCCTGCTCTAGTGTGGGGTCCATCCCACGGGAGACAGTCCTCCATGAATTTCTCCAGTGTGAGTCCTTCCCATGGGCTGGGAAGTGTGGGTCCCTTCCACAGTGTGCAGTTCTTCAGGAACAGACTGCTCCAGCATGGGTCCCCAGTGCAAGGACAAGCTATGCCAATCGCTTCTGGTGGGACCATGCCCTCAGTGTCTCAAGCTAAGCAGTGGCCTTGAGGCTGGGGGAGACATGTGGGAACACAGGTCTCATCAAAGTCCAATGGGGAATACTTGACTATCATATCAGAGACTCTGGGATGACTCAAAAGGAAAGAACATCTGAACTTTTCATTCCCTGAGAATTGCCCAGGTTCCTAGTTGCCACGTTTTACACAAAGGTTAGCACAGTTGGGTCAGGGGAGCGTTATGATCTTCGGATACATGCTCGTATGGGTGTAGCATCAACCAGTATGGGGCAGACTTTAAATGTCATTTACTTATCAAAGCTAGGTTGTGGTTCCTTCTCGCACCTTGTCTTTACTCTGCTGGTTACGTGTCTGATCATAGATTCTATGAGAACTACTTTAATTTGTGAAATTACAGGGTTTTGTTAAAATGTTGGACCCTGAAAGTAACATCTTCAGAAGTGCCTGAATCAGTCACATTTCTAAAAAGAACTCAGGTACAGTTGGGAACCTGGCCTTCAAACAAGCATTTGGGGGCAAAAACCAGATGAGTTGGAAGCCAGGTAAAGAGCCTACCTAGAAATGGGGCTCCCAAACTCCACCTGCTAAACCAGGAGGAAGCACCATGCAGAAAACAGGTACTGAAAACCTCTTTCCCCCCATTCTGGTAGACCTGATGGTTGGTGTGTGAGACTGGAATTTATAGCCCACAATTACTGCTACAGATTGGCACACAAAAGCTCCCTTGGGTGATGATGGAAATAGCAGTAGTTCATAACGCTTGTAAGGCTCAAATACTAGGTGTCCTTGCCAAAAAGCATGACATGACTCATGAACATCTCCACCACCTTCCAGCAGCTTGTCCTAACACACAAGGGCTGAGTAGACCTCCAATTTTCCTTGGAAGCCATCGCATTTTGGCTACCAGGGACTTGGGATTCATAGCATCCAAGAAGGAGATGAACTGTGGATTCATGCTTAAGAAATTTGGCTGGGAACACAGGCATGGATGTGCCTACTGCACTTACAGTGCATTGGGATCGTTCACTCCCAGCTACTAAGTAAGCGAAAGAAGGGGTTAAATAAGAAATCTCATATTGTTCAGACCCTCACATTGCAATAGGACTCATTAATAGCATAGAAATAGTCATGGAGAGACCTACTGGAGGAAAAAGACACTTAGCAAAAGTCCAGATTCATCAGCTGAATGGGTAATTTGAGTTGGAGAAGAGTATTAGTGCTTGTACTGAGCAATCGATAGAAGCAGAGAGCACTGGTCCATTTAAAAGGCTCGGGCAGGCCTTAACTGCCTTGACAGAAAATGAAACCTGTAACCTTGTTTCTGAGTCAGGTGCCTTTTGTGAATCATACAGCCTCTTAATGCATTGGCAGCTTGTCTCAGTGCTGTATATTTGTGGTCAGTGCTGGAGCTTCTCGTGTAGATAGGTGGAAGCTGGGGTGTATTTAGGGCTGTAGACATTTGCCTCCATAAAAACCTGTCTCTGAATAGCAAAATTCACGTGACCGGCAAAATACCAGCCTTTTATTCTGGAGGCAGAGAGGACCAATGCATTTGCAAGTTCCAGTCCTGAGAAATTACTCTGATTTAGGGTTTTGACTTCGATCCTATATCAGTCTCTTTCTTGCTCATGCCAGAGCAAGTTATTAATCCGATCCTTTTCCTGCCAAGTTCAATGAGTATTTATCCCCTTCTGCTGTCAGCAGGAGCAGGGCTGGGCATGGTTTGTAGGAGCATGTACTCTTCTCTGGAGGTTCCTCAGCCACACTCATCATCACAATCTCAAGGCATCTCTGCTGCTTATTTGTCCCTCAAAAAAGGCAGCCATGGCATGTGTCCCCCTGCTCTTACCTGTGTGGAAGGGACAGAGTTGGCCCACCTTGCACTTGCATGCCCTGGTAGGCATGCCACTTTTCCACAAGTAGGAAGAGGTGCTTTTCTCTCTAAGGGGAATAAAATGTGCAAGAGAAAAAATATATCAGCACATTTCACACACCGCAGGGGAAGCAGAAGCAAAACAAATTCACTATTCATATTCCCCAGCAAGCAGTCTGGTAAACCCCTGTTATTCAGGCATGCTGCAAAAAGAGTTCCTAACATTTTCTCACACTCTGGATAACATTTTTAATGGGTCCCTTTCCTGCCTTGCTGGCCCCACGCTCAGCTTTTCACTACAAGACTAGCCTCGTGTTGCAGGATGAGATTGAGGCACTTAGCTCAACTTTTGCAGCTAATTGCTAACTCAGCCCACATGATTTCCAACAAGAAACAAGGAAGGACTTTGAATCAGAAAACTGAGTATCAGTTTATATGAAAACCCATCATCCATGGGTTCCTATACCTGCTGGAGGCAGGGCCATGTTAATGCAGCACAGATACTGCATACCTGCAGAAGGCCTAGATTTAGGACCTGAATTCTCGTTGTGATCTTGTGGTGAGAAGTTATTAAGAGAAATAGTCTCTCCTAAAGGAGAAGCTAATTTAAATCCCCTCTTGTACTGAATACATAAAGAAAGCTTGACCTACTGTCTGCATTTTAAGGTACATTTCAGCAGCGAGTAGAACACGCTCTGAAAATTCAAGCAAACAATATGCTGTTTAAAAATACAGCTGCAAAATGTTTCACTTTTTTTTTTTTTAAATCAAGCTCCCAAGAATCAATGTGAGATAAAAGAGAAAGACACACAGGGACATCACAGATTGCCAGGAGGAGAAGCAGGGAAGGCAGCAACACTTTCTGATATAGGGTGTGTTAGTCTGGTGAGGTCAAGCAAGACTGGGCTAACCCTAAATGATGGTGCTGCTTTCATGGAGACACTTTTCTGTCCCCACTGGGCCCCTCAGTTGCAGCCTCAATAGGAGGAAAAAAGGTAGAAGGATAAATTCCCTTGCTCAGCACAAAGCACGGTCTTAGGGTCAATGCAGCAGCTGGGTGCAGATAGAATCAAAGCCTCTGCCCTTTCTCTGCCCAATCTGGGTCTCATCCAGAAGCTCCATGACAGTCTTAGTGTGGCGTTGTCAACAAGCTGCTGTGAGTCAAGGTACATTAGTTTTAGGCCATGGTGACCTTGGAGGCAATGGGACATGGCTCATCCAGCCCTTGCAGTGTCTCTCCTTGGGAGATGGAGAGCTCATGTCCTTTGCTATTAATTCTGCTATGCCTTTTGCTGCTGTCATATCTGGGTTTCTGCAGCTATATGGTGGCCAGCCAGACTCTTGCCCTAATTTTGCTTTTTTTTTTCTTTTTTTTTGTATTCCATGTGCAGAGAAGCAGAGGGAGCTGGCTAGGAAGGGCTCCTTGAAGAATGGCAACATGGGAAGTCCAGTTAATCAGCAACCCAAGAAGAACAACGTGATGGCACGAACAAGGTAAAGGATTGGAAAAACACTCAGCTATGCTCTAAGCTGCAATCCCTAATAGCCTTAGGATGGGCAAGGACAATGTTCGTTGCCTTTCACCTACTGCCAAACACTGCAAGAGCAGTGATGGACCTTCCTGGAGCTGGCAGGCCCAAACGCTCTGTGCAGTGTTGCATGCCATCCCCTGGGGAGATGCAGGGACAGCTGGGCTCAGTACCAGTGACAGTACATCCTGCAGGAGGCAGAGGCAGCCCAGCCTGGTCGAAATCAGCAGTTTGATATGGCTGTCTTGCATGTTCTGGGTAGCCTCATGCAACACATAATCCTGCCTCCAGGAAAAGTACAATGCTGTTTCATGTAATGCAGACTGGTTTAGAGCTTAGTTCTGCCTTGGCTGCTTTTATTGCAGTAGTTCCCTTGCTCCTTTTTGATGATCGCCCCTTTGCCTTACTGATTGACTTAACAAAGGCTTGTAAATAATCCATCTCTGTGTGCTTTGCTATACACCTCCTCTGCATTTTGAACAGCATGGTCATACTTTGCTGGAGCTGCTTTGGCACATCTCTGTATGACAGTATCAGACAGTGCTATAAACCACCATAAACAAAGTCATTTCTACCTGAATACTTTCTTTTAGAGTATTTCTATTTTTGCCATGCAAGCTTCAGTGCACCAGTGTATTACTTACTGGCATTCAGGAGGCAGGAACTGCCCTGAGCCCATGGGATTGCACACTCTGCATGCTACTAGAAAGGTGACAGTTTTTAGTGGAGGACCTCACTTAAAATGACAGAAGAATCTGCATGAATGCTGGGTATTTACTGATGAATGAGAAATTGCATGGATTGCCATATATTAAGGAGAACATGAGCTGCAGGTCAAAGAGTCTCTGTATGCAACATCTGACAGATGAGGTTCCTTGTTCACATTAATTCCCCAAACTCAAAATAGTAGTCATAAATCATGCCAGGACTTTGTCGAGTTATATTTGTAAGCCCCTGCGATGTTGGTGGAATACGCTGCATTGCTCCCTGCTCTGTATTTGGTTGTTGAGACCATGTAAAGGAGTCAGGCCCTTCATGGCAGCAAGAAATTCAGCAAATGCTCTCAGTTCGGTTTTCCACACCCACTGTTCCTCCTTTGTCTTCCAAATACAAGCTGGAAAGACTTGGTTTCTTTCACAATAGGCTGCATGCTGGCTTCCCGAGAGGAATGGTAGCAGATTTACTGCTTGAGAGATTTAGAAACACTGAATTAGCAGAGGAAGATGGTACGAAAGAGAAAAATGGATAAGTACAGATGCCTACCTGTAAAATTAGTGACTTCTGCTTGGAGAGGTTGTTGCTTCCGAGCTGCCAATGGAAAGTAGAGTGATTTGAGTGGGGAAGAGCAGAGCAGTGACACCTATCGACAAAAGCTTTCAAGCAGCCAGCTCAGTTTTTTTCCATTCGTGGACATCTGAGCACTGTTCAGAGGACATGTGGACCCTTCCAAAGCCCAGCATAGCCTGCTGGCAGTAGACTTGCTTTTCTTAGTTACTTTTCACACAGCTTTTAGAGGCACCCCTTGGGATCTGCAGAACAGAGGTTTGCAGCCATTGCTTTAGTAGCGGATGTAGCCAAGCTCCATTGTTCCCATATGGCTGGGAGGTGTCTGGCACAGGGTCTCACTGGCCCAAGTCCCTTCATCCTCTAGGGCCCTTGGCTTTCTGGGAACCACGCTGCCCCATGAGTGCACCCCTAGTAATACCTCAGAATGGTTCTGTCTGTCTTGCCACAGACAGGGCAACCCCAGGAAGGCAGAAAGGCCACAGGCTTGTTCAAGCAGCTTCTTTTCACAGTATAACAGTTGCAGTATAATGGGCGATACTCCAGTGGGATACACTGCAAAACGTCCAGGTTATGGTTTAAGTCTGAACTATTGGCTTCCTCTGGTCTTTGCTGGAGGAGAATAAGCTAAAGCCATTTCCCCCTTTTTAACAGTTCTGCTGTCTCATCAAATATGTTTTCCTTTGTTTAGGCAAACCACATTACCTCTTATAGTCTCTATTCCACTTCCTCTTCCTTCCCCAAGGTTTCTGTTATTCTGTATTACCTATATAAATTTATGGCCTCCAGCCTCTGGATCCCTGCACCATTTGGTCTTCTCCTGGGGCAGGAGCACAGCCTGCTTTAGAGGTGAAAGAGTCTGGATCATAACACATTCAGTCTCCCTGGGAGCAAATAGAATATGAACAAGGTTGGGGGGATGCTGGCACACTTGCTACAAGCACAGGCAGAGCCCACAACACCATCCGCATGGTTTGGGCACAACCAGATATGGCAGTCCACTCTGAGGATAACCTGAACTTGGATTTGTATCATAACATAGGTCAAGTGAGCAAAAACACCAAGACAAGAAGTTCATATTTGAGACAGCTGTGGATGAAAGCAGCTACAGCTGCTACCTGGCTTTGTTCTAAGGACAGTGGGAAGCGAAAATAAAGACAATCAGGATGCGAGGGAACGACTTAGATCAGGGGCAGAGACATTATCACTGATTTTGTCTGTTGCAGAAAAAATTGAAGTTCTGTGTTATTAAGAAAAAAGACATTTCTCAAGAAAAAGATACAGTGGTTTTGGTTTTTTTAATCAAGTAAATAGCACCACAAAGGCTTCTTCTCCTAGATCCCCTGATAGTGCTTTGTTCACTCATAATATAGTAACAACCATCAGTGAGTATATATGGAGCAGTGCCTTGAAAACTGGAGAGCGAGAGTGGAAGTCAGTACTTTTGATACCTGTATGGACAAGCTGCTGCTGCCAGATCACGGTATAGCTCCAGACATCTTTGCTTCTTGACTTCCTTCCTTCATGCTTCAGAAGCAGAAGGACCATCCCAGTGCTATGAAAAAGGGATACTGAATTGTGCAAGTGGATCCCATTTTCTCCAGTCCCCTGGTGCAGCACGTTGGAAATTCTGCATCAGTTTTGAAATCAATTTCTTTAATCTTGTATTTCAATGAACTCAGTAAGAAAATACAACTATTTGTGAACCTATGTATCTGCTTTGTGATAACATGTGATATATTTTATTCTCCCTGAGCCTGTGCATCTTCAGTGCCTGGCATGCCTTTGTATTGCCATAATTGTAATGGCTTCCTTAAATTTTCTGAGCAGAAGCGGAAAAACATTTCAGGTAGTTAGACAGCAGTTGGAGCATGGATGAGATGGTTTATCATCTGTAGATTTATATTTCCCAAACTCTTAGTGAAACATCATTGTGCATCACTCTATTGCTCAAGATCAGTTCTTCATTTGGGAGAAAACCTGAGTTAACCCACCGTACGAGGAGATTTTCATCACTTTTACTGCTGAACATAAAATTGTATTCCATTTGCTTGGTTTGGTTGATCTTATTGTTAAATATGAGCCAAAGTCTCTGTGCAATTTTGTGGATGAAAGAACTCTCTTATGAACTAGATACCATTGTATTAATGCATTTTCCTTATCCAAGAAGCTCTGAAGCCTGTATTCCATTTCACAAACTCTCTCAGGCAATTAAAGGTGCAAAGTCATCTTCAGCCTTTGTAACACTTCTGATAAAGTGAAAGTCATTATAAAATAATGGGATTTAAAAAGTGCTAGGCTGGCTGGCCTCTTACACTGCCCCCACCAGCTCATATTTCTCATATTACTAAATTTAGGACTGAGACCTCAGAAGTGTTGTGTTGGGCAGGGCTGGATAGGGACGCAGGCCTGGTTTCCAATAGTAGAATAGTAGGAACGCGATAAGCCTCTGCCTTCCCCTAGCCTCGTTCTCCTGTTTACTTATTGCTAGTGTCATGTATTCATTGCTAAAAATAAAAGCAACGCAAAAATGAGCAATCTGATTTGACAAGCAGTACTAGCCAAACAGGTTCACCAGAATGAAACACAGTGTGTCCCAATATTTTTTTCTTCCAGGGAGGAGTGTGTTCCCTCACTATGTCCAGCATTCATCCCTGTGAAACTGCTCTAAGCTACCCAGAGACACAGCTCGTGTCCTCTGAATTGCATGCATTTAAATGTCTTCAGTGATAAGAGAGAGCATGCAACAAAGCGAAATGGGAAAAGCCTATTGTATAGCTTTGCCCTAGATTATGCGTGGTACTGAGCTTTATTGTGTGGTTAACGGGCAACATTTAATTGTTTCAGGCTCGTCGTTCCCAATAAGGGCTATTCGTCATTAGACCAGAGTCCAGATGAAAAGCCACTGGTAGCCCTGGATACAGACAGGTATGCAAAGTGTTAATACGATGATGTACATTACGGTGCAAGTGAGTTTTCATGCCAGAGTGCAGCACTGTGAAACTGCTCTTGCTGGCCTCTTGCACTCTTCCTTGCTGTGCCGTTTGGCATGTGCCGTAACTGGTCTGTGCATGTAAACAAGTAGGAAGAGACTTGAGTAAAAAGCGCTGTGATGGAAAAATCTGAGCGTCACATATGAAAATTGCGCTCCATGCTCCCTTGGTGTAACTCCTCTATGCCTCAAGGACAGCTTCACGGCACAAGAAAGGGCTAACCAGGGAATACAGGTGTCTCTAACTGTTTCTTTCTTTGCCCTGCAGTGATGATGACTTTGACATGTCCAGATATTCCTCCTCCGGATACTCATCAGCTGAGGTGAGTTATACTCTCTCCTGCCATCCTTGCTGTGAATGCTAATAGTAGAGCAGCCAGAAGCATCTTAGAGTGGCCTCGTAATGCCAGAAATGGCTACGCAAAGAATTTACCAATGGAGTGGACTCAGTCTGGAAGGTGCCATGGCAGAAACTATGTCATGTTTCTTTCTTCCCTGGTGATCCAGTTGGCTCCATCCCCACACTGCCGTGGCACAGAGATCTGCCTGTCGGCTGTTTTCACAGCTACCTTTGGCTTCACTCAAGCTTTTCCCTGTTCTGGTTATTCCTGCAGTGTTGGCCCATGTGGTGCAAAAACATCAACAGCTCAGCAACTGTATGCTTGCCAAGGACACAAGTAAAGGATCTGAGGGTGTGCTGTGATTTCAAGTTCTTGGGCAGTCAGGGTCACTGAATGTGTGTTTACTTGGAGCAGGCAGAAATTCCAGGGAGGACTTGCAGATAGGAACTCTTGCCCTTTCAAAGAAAAAAGTCAGGAAGCTCAGGTTTGTTAATCCCTCTGCATTGTTTATGAATATATTCCCAAGTAATCTCCTGAAATAGTTGCTCAGCCTCTGGCTGCTGTTTCTGCAGGATCTGATTTTACATCCAGGGTGCTGAGCAGCCATTCTGCACTCAAGCTGCTGGGAACTCTTCCCCCTTGTATGCCTTCCATGGGCAAAATGCGTTTGAAACACAGAGAAATGGCCAAAAGCAGAGACCAGATCAAATGATCTGGGCCATCACTGGGCCCTCATGAAGTGTTGTTCACCCAGATCTGGTTAGACAGCACTTGAATCTGAGATTACAAAGAGCCAAGAGGCTAAAGCCTTTCAAATGCTACAGTGTGCTCCAGACTGAGAGGAGGGACTGCCCAGCTACCAGTTGGTTTACTAGCATTATTATTACATTACTTTAAATGAGGGCTTGTCTTCATGGAAGCATTATTCCAGAATAAAATAGTGTATCAACTTGCTACTCTGGAATATCTCTACTCTAGATGTTCCTGTTCTGGAAGAAGCTAAACCAGAAGGCAGCCCTCACCTGTGGCCAAAACCTGGGACTCTTTCATTGGTGGGGCAGCTGCTAATGATGGGGAATATATTCCAGAATAAGGGACTCCCTTCATCTTTCAACCATCAGAAGTAAGAAGTCTCAAGTGTTTGACTGTTTGTCTCTTTGTCTGTAGCAGATCAACCAAGACTTGAACATCCAGCTGCTAAAGGATGGGTACCGGTTAGATGAGATCCCAGATGACGAGGACCTCGACCTAATCCCCCCTAAATCGGTCAACCCTACCTGCATGTGTTGCCAAGCCACCTCCTCCACCGCCTGTCACATCCAGTAGTGAGGCCGGCAGGCTGTGATCAGTGCTTTCCACTATAACTGTAAAACTTAACAGCCATTGCTTCCTCCTATGGTAGGACGTGCACCTCTTTGTGTTCATGGAGCCAGGAGAAACCAAAAAATTCATTTTATGATTGCTTGATAAGTTATTTTAAACTACGGTTAAATGAAAAAGAAGTTGCTCAAAGTGGCAGGCAGTGCCTAGCAGAGCTGACTGGTCTGGAGAGCAAATGCAGAGGGGTCCAGAGATACCTCCTTGGTTTGTGTAGGCACTGAGGATGTTTTGTAAGATGTCTGCTCCAGAATCGGAAGGGTCAGATGGGGCTAGCTGCAGGTAATCCTACCCACTGAAACCAATCCATCTGCAAGATCAGAGGTGAGTCTGAGGTGTCAGGAGGTTTTGCGAGTGAGAGGAGGTCAGTTCTTAATTCACTCACCAAACCTGTTTCATTTGCGTAACCAAAATGATGCTGTAACTGGAGCACAGGAGTGGGAACGGAGCAGGGCATCCTTTCATATGGCAAGGCTAGCCAGGACTCGCATGACACAATTCATTCACTTGGGAAGATGACAGACAGGTGGCATTTCACTGTGAGTCAGTACTAGCTAGAGCTGTTGTGTCCCATATCCAATGCAACCTACGCTTAGCTCCACATGAAATTACCACCAAACACATCAGATTTGATCTGCAATCCATCCATGCTCTTCAGGGATTCAGTCCTTGACCGAGAATACCATACTCCTGAGTTCAGTCCAGTCACATATATTCTCTTCAGCTTATACTTAATTCCCATGAGACTCATCTGCTTCCAAAAATCTTAAACTTTGTTCAACTAAGAAAAAATGAGTCCTGCACGAGACAGGACTAGAGCTGTACAATCTGAAGGTCAGTGTCAGAAGAGCTAGTTGAAGAAAGCACATTTTTACAGTGCTTGACTGTCGATATTCTCTTGACGCTGCGTCTCTTGGTGCCTGTGGGAGAGATTTGTTATCACTGAAGGCATCTGTGTGGTGGTGTCAGACTTTAGGGGAGTTTTCAGCAACAGCTCAAAAAAAAACCATGAGAGGAAACTACTGTTTATCCCATCTCTGCCTGCTTGTGAACCAGGCTTGGTCTGTTAGAGCTGTACCACATCAGGAGCAATTGTGTTTATTTCGTGCTGCAATAGTCAGGAAACCTGGTGTTACATTAGGTTGCTGGACTGAATTGCCAGTTCACCAGCAGATTGTTTTGAATGTAAAATCATTTCTGGAATTAAGATATGTGCATCCTCTCCCTGGCTGGTCTTACACTGCTGTCTTCAGCATATGTGGTGCTCAGGTGAGGGATGGGCTGGCATTTTTCTCAGTGTTGTAATCTTTTGCCACAGGCACGACTGCGTGTTTTCCTGCCCCACCAGGAGGAAGGACCGTCTGCCTTGGGTCATCACTTGCTTCACAGCCTGGGGAAGGGAAGAAGGCAGGGCAATTCTGAGCTTCCCATCAGAGTTACAAGGCAGAGCCTGGTTCCACCCACCTGAAATCTAGAGGAAGTGAGCCGAGTCTTTAAGAAGTCCTCTTCATGATTAGGAGGAGATTTATTTAACATCCTGGGGTTTCAGTCTGTGCAGTGCGAAGCATGATACCATCCACAGTGTGAGCAAAAGAGCAGGCACACAAGATTCCTGGGCTTTATTATTCACTAGCAGGTATGGGCAACTGTTAAAGCCCCCCCCACCCCCAAAACCAGTGTGCTGCCATGCTGGCTCCAGGCCATAGAAAGAGGACTGAGTGGTGATGCTGACTGAGCATACTTGCCTCTTTGTGCAGAAGTGCTGGTTAACTTGCCAGCTCCTCTAGGAAGAGTGTTCCTCAAGTGAATTCCTCTCCCTTTCTCACAACCTGGTTATGCTGAGGGGGAATATTTCCAGAATGTTTCTAAAGAAGCACAAAGCATCAGGTCTCCAATTCTTTGCTTCTTCCTTCATGTGTCTGCCTTCCTCTCCAGTGCTAACCCAGGTTGAGGTTAGCAATTTGTCTGGAGGTGGGGGAAGAGCTCTAGCAACACTGTGTAGAGAGAAAACATAAAAGGGAAAAACATTTCTTAAGGAGTCTTTTTTTTTGTTAATGGGGAATGTCGTCAAAGCCTACCAGAAACACCATGGTCAAACCAAATCCTATAGGACATAACCGAGTCTCTTTAAATCTTCACTCTTCTAAAGAGGAACTTTGCAGTTCGGCATTGGTACCATGCAGAGTCTTCATCACATTTATCCTCCTGGGTCAGTCTCTGTGCCTTCCAGCTGGGCTGCACACACTCAGCCTTTCCCAGAGCCCTTGCTCAGGAGCTTGGAGCATTTCAGTGTGCCTGCTGGAGCAACAAGCCATCTGTTTACATGGGTCAGCCATGGAGGACTGCAAGCCCCACAGGTCTCCATCACGCTGCCATCATGTTCAGTCTAAGACAGAATGAGGCTTGCTGACACTGTATCTCCCAGGGTGAATGCCTCCCCTCTGAAGGACAGACCTTCCCTGATACCCATTGCCCCATGGCACCACAACCAAGTCCTTTTATTGCTCCTATTGCCATTTTTTGCCTGCCATGTGCCCTGAGGCATTCCTCAACGCTGCAGCCCTGCAACTGCCCTCAGCCCTTTGCATTGTGTGGTGTGCATCTGCTTCTAGCACAACCCTTGAGGGAGGGAGGGAGGTGAATTTCCATGTTACACCCAGTGTTTCCTCCAAAAATCAGATTGAAGCACAAGCCAAGTGTTTTTTCCTGTGCACAGAAGGAGTTGGTTGCACAAATAGCTGGTTTGGCATGACAGTACAGGACCATAAAATGGCAATTTTTTGGCTTCTCCTCTCTATGCTTTGTGTTCATATATTTTATTAGGGGATTAAAGTAGAAAGGGTGGGGAAAAGCAGTTACCTGTGTAGGGTCATTATCAGGAAGGCTGAATGGATTAAGGTGTTGCACATGTGGCTATTATAGAAAATTAAACACTAACCCTTCTGAACCGCAGCCCCTTAAGCCAGTTATGACCATGCCGCATGTTTGTTGGCTCGTTACGGAATATGGTAGACAGCCTGTCAGTATGTATTAACCACAGATTGGGCTGCCTCCCCCTCTGTGGTCTCACGTTCAGACCTTTGCTTCAGCCAGAAGGTTTTTCTTGTGCCTTCGTTGGATGTTATGCTGTGGTGACTTCCTGGGAAGGTGTATAGACACATGCCTATTCTGGCACTGCTCTCCTTAGATCAGTCCCTGACGCCATGGCCTGGAGAAGGCAAAAGCAAAGAGCACAGACTGGACTCTCTGTCGCAGCATTATGAAGCCCTAAAACCTGCAGAGCTGCTGAGCACCCTCCTAAAAGCAGATTGCATGCAGGAAAACAAATCATTCCTAGTTCCAGTCTTTGCACCAACCCAGATTGTCTTCTCAGGCCCCGTTTTCAGCCCAAAGTTATACAAAATACCAAGGGGAGGAGCACAATGGAGTATGAAAGGCTGCATCACTGTCCATTTAAATTACCTTGCAAACAGAATTTAAAGATATTGATGCAGATTTAAAGATATTGGTGCCTCCACAAAGGAATTTGCATTTGATGCCTCCTAAAGCCAGGCTGGTTTATTGTTGGGATTTTATGTAATTTCAGTCATGAAATTACCAGAGTTTAAGCAAGTCCTTTCCTTTTATCAAATGTTAATTTTGCCCTTTAATGTGAGCTGGCTTTGAACTCCAGGGTCTGCACTCAACTGTGTCTCTCTGATCTGCAAACTTTACATTTCCAGATGTCTGTGTGAGGAGGAACATCCTCCTAGTGTTAAGGAAGATCTCTAGATAGCATGGTCTAGTCTGCTCTTCTGGTGGTTGTAAATAAACTTTGGGTGAAAGGAAGCTGATGTCCAGGCGACCATCCTGTAGGCTCATTTGATGTTTTATCAGACATACCTTGAAGTCAACCCTTGGAAGAGCCACTGGATTATATCTGAGTTTGCTGCATGTCTACCCCCAACGTGTACACTTGGCCATTGGGTCTGCTATGCTGTTCTGGCTGTCTTGCCTGCAGATGCCTTGCAACTGCAAAAGCAGGCAACCAAGCCTGCTGCATGGACTTTGAAAAGGACTTTAGGATGCTCCCCCATGGACAGGGTGGACTCAGCTGCTTCTGGTTTGTCTCTCCGGCTCCTTTCCCAAAAGGAGGCACCTGCTCTGCTCAGCTGTGTGCTGGCTGACACAGTGGTCTGCGATCCTGAGCAGAATCCTTTCCTCTCCACTCAGCGTCTGTCCTCGGGCTGGCCTGCAGGCTGTACAACGTCATGCAGGAGGCTTGAAAAGTACTGCGCCCTGTATGTGACTCAACAGAAAGACGAAGATGCTTTTGAAGAAAGGAAGGACCCAGCTGGGCACCAGATGGAACGACAGGAAAAGGAAAACAGGCAGTAACTAGAAAGGTTGCCAAGTGCTGTCTTGGCCTAGGGCAGATCTCAGTTGTCTGAATTAATCTATCTCAGTGCAGTGCTGATACCAGCAGGGAGCAAAGCTCGCTTTCAAATGCACACAACAGAAACACCGTGTCCCCAAGCTGGCACCGCAGCCAAATACTACTGTGGAGAGTCTGCTGGACTGTTAGAGCACAGAAATGAGATCTGGGGTCTCTTGCTGGTGTTGGCGTGTGGTACGCGTTTGCTGTAACCTCAGGCAAGTCACATCCATGATGTCCATTCCCTTCTGCAGCCCCAGAGAAACCTGCCTTCCCAAGATGCTGCCAGTACCCTGCATGGATGTTGCCAAGTGTGTGAATGCACCATTGACAGAATAGCTCTGCAAGCAAGATGCAAAAAGCATGCTATAGAAATTTTATGCGTATTTTCAAAGTACTACTCTGCTTTCCCTCTGTTTCCCAGCTTCTGATGGTGCTTGCATGTGCCAGAAGGCTGCAGGGCGGAGGTTAGTAGAGAGATTAAACAGCTTTGGGGGAAGATGTTTGGCAAGAATGTGTCTCCCTGTTATTTGGCAGCTGGCTCTCACACAACTGGCTTCTCAATCTGCATGCTGCCACAGGGAACATGTAAGATGATCTGGTAGCCCAACAGCACCATCCCATGCTAGTAGAATTAAGGAATTTAGGAG